AAAAAAAAAAAAAAAAAAAAAAAAGAAAGTGAAGAGCCAGGCAGAGTTGTGATCAAAATAACAAACATTCTCTTCTACCTGTTACATAATATGATAGATGTCTAGAGCATGGAGAGGTAGACGGTGTACAGCTTGCCGTATAGAATTTATGTGTCATTTCCCATTTCTTTCTATCTGTTTTTTTAATCTTTGGACCAAGAATATGTAGACAGAGGTAAGGAGTGACTTTTGGATATTTGGGTGGGAGTGAACTGAACACACTCTTTTCCGGGCTCTTGGAGGACACTATAAAGTAATAATTTCCACATGGTTTAGTGAGAATCATTCCACCATAATAATACTCTCTAACAAAGCCAAGTTTTTATTTAACTTTTATAAGAAAGTATTATGCATATAGACATGTGTGTCTTACTAATTCCACAAATTTTCCAGTGTTCCAGTAGCATACAACATGTTACTCAGCTAGATACTACCACCAGCCTGGGGTCATTTGACCAAAGAAAATATTTTTAATTACTATAATCTGATACTACTGCAATGTCAGTAGAAAATTTTATATTTATATATTTATAGTTGTATTTGCTATCACAGATTAATGAAATTACTTTAGTGAATTACTATGTGCTTTCCCTCTCACATAAATTTATTACACAAGTGTCCTTGTTTATCTTTACTTATAAGACATCAAATAAGAACCTTAATTATATTTGTGTACCTTAGTATTAATTATATATTATTAATAATACAAATTAAAAACTAAATAATTTAATTTGTACATAGACATTTGCATTGTGTAGCAGGTGAGGCTGTCACTGCTGAAATAATAGATATCAGAACAGAAAAACCAAAAGAAAACATTAGCCTGTCAGTTTATTCATAACTAGAAACAGAATTTGAGACTTCAGATATAAATCAGCCAATCTCTGATTTCACCCTTCTTGTCAGTTGGAGTAAGGTGTGGACAACTGGGCTCCCCTCATCTGGCTGCTGAGATCAATTGAGAATCTTGGTGTGGAAGAACCAGAAAAGAGCAGTACTATTATATTGATACAGTGGTGATAATATCTACCATTTACCAAGTATCTGATATGCAGATCACTAATTAATCAGAAAGTACTGCTGTAGCATGAATCTTTAAAAGTCTTTTTAATAGAAAACTCAGGAGCCAGGTATTGGGGTAAATTCTGAAAAGCCAAAGAAGCAGAATAAGCCACAGCTAACCTTATCTCGATAACTTCTCAGCTGATCCTGTTTCCTCAAACTGGAAGCCTCTGTGTCATCATCCAAATGGATCTCAGCTGAACTGCTGCTAAAAGCTAAAAGCTTAAAAAGACTCTAGTTCCTGGTCCTTACACCTTATATACATTTCTGCTTCCTGTCATCACTTCCTGGGATTAAAGGCGTGAGTCACCATGCCTGGCTGTTTCCATTGTGGCTTTGAACTCACAGAGATCCGGATGGATCTCTGCCTCTGGAATGCTAGGATTAAAGGCATATATGCCACCATTTTCTGGCCTCTATGTCTAATATAGTGGCTGTTCTGTTCTCTAACCCCAGATAAGTTTATTGGGGTGCACAATATATCAACCACATATTGCCCCTATGATGTGTCTGCATTTTAGCTCACATAGTAGCTTGTCTCAAGACTCTGTCCCTCAAAATGTTAAGTAGATATGAAAAGTCTCTTTTATGAGAAAGGAAATATAATAGAAGGAAGACTTCAGTATTTATCAGTTTCTAGTTTATTATGATAAAATTGAATTCATTTGTAAAGCTTGAAATTTGTCTACATTTCAGCTAGATTTTTCCTGTCACAGTTGTCTCAGAAAATTCAGTAATTTTGAGTGCTGCAAAGTACATCTTACACAGTTTTCTTCTAATGCACAGTGTGGCATCTTCAGCTAATGTTGGTGTAAATTAACATTCTGAAATATACAGAGGCACATTCTATAAAACTGGGACCACAATGTTCACATTATTGCACATTTTTGCAAATCTCATTTATACAGATGTAGTATTTCCTGTTTTTAAAGAGATTTCTGATTCATTATACCCTCCTTAACCACTCCATTTATCTTTGTGGCTTAGATTATTTGTAATAAAGAAGAACACAGTACATGTCAGTAAAGATATTCTTCTGATGCTAGGAACTGAACCTTGGGCCTCACACATACTAGGCACGTGCTATACCACTGAGCCACACTCCCATCTCCACAGAGAAATATCTTTTTATCATCTTATAAAGACATCCTGCTAATACTCTTATCTTAGTTAGGGTTTTATTGCTGTGAAGAAACACCATAACCATGGTCTCTCTTATAAAAGAAAACATTTAGCTGGGGCTGACTTACAGTTCAGAGGTTTAGTCCATTATCATCATGGCAGAAGCATGGTGGCCTGCAGGCAGACATGGGGCTAGAGAAGGAGCTGAGAGTTCTACATCTTGGTCCACAGGCAGCAGGAAGTGAATGTCACGCTAGACCCGGCTTGAGCGTTTGAGACCTCAGAGCCCCCCCTAGTGACACACTTCCTCCAACAAGGCCACACCTACTCCAACAAGGCCACACCTACTCCAACAAGGCCACACCCCCACTCCCTGTAAGCCTCTGGGGGCCATTTTTATTCAAACCACCACACTGTCCCCCCTTTCTAATAATGTCTGGGAATCTGTGATTCGCTTAATGGTGCCAGCCTTTCTCGCAGTTATTTTAATGTGAAATGGTAGAATTTGTTCTCCCCACTTTGCATAAAAGAAAAGCACATAAGGTTTTAGTAGTGAGCTGGGCTATCGACAGTTACCGCGTGCTCAGCTGAATGGGGTGGTGTTCTCAGCTGTGCATCTCTAGTTCCCCGGGTGACCGAGTGCCACTGGGAACTTGTAGACTGAGTCCTGCAATGCATTCACTAAACACATCAGTTCAGTTACATATTCTGAGCTGAAACTTTCCTTTCCTCTGATCTCTTTCAGACACACACACACATGTTTTGTTTAATACGGTCACCAGATGCCACTGTTTCTGGCATTCAGTTGTCAAAATACAAAGCTTCTCTGAGGCTGTGCTGAATGTCATGAGTGAAGCTACTCACACTGCCTGTATGTGCTTTACTGTTCTGCTGAGAGTTTAAAAGATTTCAGGGTGATATTTGACTGTATGTAAATTTTGATCTACATAGTGCCCTTAAGATTTTATCCTGCCTAAGGTGTAACACCACCTACCTGGAGATTATTGAATTATATCATCTCATTTTTCAGTGAAAAGGTTGATTTCCATGGTTGATGAAAACATGGTGACATTGTTAGAGACCGTGAGTTTACCTTTCAATACATCAGCAGACAGTCTTTTGTTTTTCTACTTCACAATTTATTCTTGGAAAATAGGCCATATTTTCCCATAGTAATAACAGAGACGGAGTCCCCAATAAGACCAAAGAACACTCAGCAATGGTCCTTGGCACAAACGCCTTAAACACAGGGACCATTTCCACTCTGAACTCTGTGAACACATGGAAAAGCCACAGCACCCGTCAACCTCACTCCACTTCCAGATGTTTCTAGAGCAGCAGTTCTCAACCTGTGTGTCACAACTCCTTTGGGGGTCAACTGGCCCTTTCACAAGGGTCACATATCAGATATCCGGTATATCTGATATTTACATTGTGATTCATAACAGTAGCAAAAATACAGTTATGAAGTAGCAACAAAAGTAATGTCCTGGTTGGGGGTCACTGCCATGAGGAACTGTATTAAAGGGTCACAGCATTAGGAAGGTTGAGAACCAGTGCTCTAGAGAACAGAAGCATATGTACCCAGCTATAGGTCAAGGGTCATGCAATGCCATCTTGGCAAACAAGCAAAGCAAATCTCTTTTATTTTTTATGTTAGCATGACCAAGAAATGCATCTTGTCTTTTATACTCTGTAACTAAAATTTATTGATCATTTTGAGAATTTAGTTCAGTCTATTACTCTCCAATGTGCCTGCTTTATAAATAGTTTTCCTGCATATATTTTGTAACTCATCCTAGAAAATCAAAAAATGACACACAATCCATATGTCTGTGTCACACAGTTTACCCTGTGAAGAGGTTTTTAGTTCTATTCTTGTATAACCCCCTTCTGTATCAAGGTAAGTTGTGTAATTTTGAACAGGGTCCCTCAAAAGCAATTCAGAGGAGTGGCTGGATATTGCTTTGCCAGACATTCGTCCTCACCCTTGTTCCACTTGTTGCCAGACACAGGACCTTTGTTGTATGTTCATTGCTTGGGCTTTGAGCAGTTTTCTCTAATATCAGACTTGCTCTTGAGCAGTCACTCTGAAGTCTCCAACATGTCTTAGCTGTGCTGAGTGAGAACGTGAATGGCTGAGCAGCAAAATAAAGTTCCTGCTTGACCGTTGCTGGCATTGTTGACAAGAGTGTGAAAGGGGTTCGAGAATTTGATTATTGAGAGGATGGACAGCTAGTTGGGGAAATGGAAGAAGAGTCTTCCGTTAGTGGCTGTGTTGCTGGTCTGATTGGACCTTCATAACATGCAATCATTTCCAGTTTTTTATTTTTTTCTGTATTGATTCAGACTTAAGGATGTTGATGGAAATGTTCATACTCTCTCAAGTTTGATAACATGCATATGTATGTATATGTATGTAATATATATGTGTGTGTATGTATGGGTGTATAATATACATGATCAGTGGTGCAAAGAGCATTTTTGCATTCCTAAAGGCACAAATATAAACATGTAGAGTCATAAGTACCTAAGGAACATTTGAAGAACAACTGTTGTGTTGTCATCTGGGTTTCTGAGGGGTCTGTGAGGTAAGACCTCTTTATGGCAGGTTTTCAGAAACCATGGAGACTTCCCATGGCAAGAATTAGGTTGTCCAAGACTAAGGAAAAGCCAGATTTTCACTCCGTCTGTGTTGGTGGCAGACTAGGGTCTATCATTCTGTCTGGAGCTACAAAGGGAGCCAGTTCTGTGTTGGTTTACATGTGCCTTTGTAAACTGCCTGAGAGACAACAGAGGACACCGGGAAAGGAAGCCACAGACTCAACAGCACTCATTCTTCACAGTCTTCTTCTGTAGACGACCTTGAAGCACTAAGATTCACTTTCTCCTCCCTTTAGCTCTGCAATAAAATCGTGTTCCTGGTGAGTTTTGTGGGAAACCGAGGCACATTCACCCGAGGTTATCGAGCGGTCATCCTGGACATGGCCTTTCTCTACCATGTGGCGTATGTCCTGGTTTGCATGCTCGGTCTCTTTGTTCACGAGTTCTTCTACAGCTTCCTGGTGAGTAGAGCCTTAGAGACAATCGCTGCTAAGCACATGACGCCCTCCTACACCTTAGCTTGTTGGTTGGTTGGTTTTGTTGTTGCTGTTTGTTTTATTTTCTTAGCAAGGCACAAATTATGTTGTTTTTGGAATTTCCTAGAAGCATGGGTTGTCATTTTTAATCTTTCCTCTGGGAAGTACATGGGCGATGGAGATCTATTTGCTGAGAAGCAAGCAACCTCCTGCCCTCTTCTCTTGGCCCAGGCTTCATACGACAAGCTGCTTTGGGTTTCCAGCCAAGTGGTATTTACTCAATTTATTATCCAACTACATAGGGGACAAATAAGGACGTATGGTCCTGTGTGCTAAAATCATTATCTTCGGTTTATAGTATCAAATGTTATATTAATCATTACAGTGGCATGTAAGCAAAATGAGAAGGAACAAAAGGCACCCTAGCAAAAGGGCAATCTGTTTAAAGTACAGCTTCTTAGATTATGTCTCCATCGTTAATGATGTCACTATCATTAGTTTATGATGTCACCACCATCTTTAACTTATGTATGTTACCACCATTAGCTTTCGTCACAACCATTAGCTTATGTCACCATCGTTAGTTTATGATGTCTCCATCATTTATGATGTCACCATCGTTAGTTTATGATGTCTCCATCATTTATCATGTCTCCATCGTTAGTTTATGATGTCACCACCATCTTTAGCTTACATCACCACCATTAGCTTATGTCACCATCGTTAGCATATATCATCATGGCTAAGCTTAGCTATGTATCTTTAAATCTTTAGGTTTTTTTTTTAGATTCTTTTGTTTTTGTTGAGAGATGAATTGCTTCACTGTGTAGCCCAGGCTGGCCCCTAAGTCACAATCTTCCCACCTCAGCCTCCCTGTGCTGGGGTGGTGCCTGTGTATCACTACACCCAACTATACGTCCTTCTTAGATGCCCTTGTCCCTAAAGGCCATCTTCCTTTCTCCATTTAGACTGCTTTATAGTCATGAATGAGGAAAACAGTTAGTATAAAAATATGCGTTTAAATCTGTGAGTGGTGTTTGAATACAGGCACATGCATGCCACCGTGCACAGGCAGAAGTCAGAGGACCGGCTTGGGTGTCACTTGTCAGCCACCACCTTGCTTGAGGCAGTTTCTCATTTCATCGCTATGAACGCCATCTACGCTGGCCCCTACTGAGTTAAAATAAAATCTCTTTATGTTACCCTAAGTGGTTAAAAGGTTCAAGACACCAGAACATTGACAATCTAGAGGTTGAGTTTGTGACAATGAATTCATCTTTATTGAAGAATATTGACTTTGTTCCTAATAATAGCTGTACTTCCCAAGAGATAAACAGAGAGCAAAGTAGTGAATTTTTTAAGAATTTGACTCATCAAATGCCAGTATCCTAGAGACAGGCTCTGCACAGCAATGACTGGCCAGGCTGTGATTACAGCGTAACCCTTGGTACACAGCAGACCGGGGCTCTTGAAAGGACACACACCTAACTGGTCATTCTAGCCCAGCCAAGCTCTGGGTCTCATCTCCACATAAGAACACAAACACAAACCCTGAGTTTTCCAGTTTTGAATATGGGATTCATTTTTAAACATTTTTGGACATTTCTGAAAATGAATGTAACTTTATTTTTTAACTGCTTCTGTATAATAAAAAAATGTACTTGCTAATTGATAATTTCAGTTTTGTAATGTAGCAGTGTGTAAAATGGTTCCCACCACTGGCCACAGGTAGCAGACATGTGCTTGAGTTCTGTATTACTGTGTAGAGTTCCTATTAAAGACAGACTGGATAGCAACCCTTTAGAGGGAAGGAATTGGCAAAGCAGTTACCTTTTTTGTTTGTGGTTCTGCTTTCAAAAGTATAAAGGAATGCAGATTTGTGTCCTTATTTACATACTGTTTTAGTAAGGAAGAGTGTCTGCACTGTCTAAATATTTTAAATTCAAACATTTTCTATGGCACCAGACTCATAAGATTGTCCTCTGCATTTTAAGTCCCATAATTGAACAACAAATTTAATGAATTTTTTAACTGTCCCATAAATTACATGTGCCTAATATTATAAACTTTCTAAATTCAGATGAAAGTGAGTGTCTAAGCCAACATGACATTACATGCTGCTAGAGCTGTCTTCACTAAAACTGTGTCTCCTTGTATTCTAGCTCAGCTGTTTGGGTTCATTTTAAAATGTTATTTGATGAAGGTTATTTTTTAATTGTTATTTCTGTAGCTTTTTGATTTGGTGTACAGAGAAGAGACCCTGCTGAACGTCATCAAAAGTGTCACACGGAATGGCCGCTCCATCATCCTGACAGCGGTCTTGGCTCTCATCCTGGTCTACCTGTTCTCTATCATCGGCTTCCTTTTCCTAAAGGATGACTTCACCATGGAAGTGGACAGACTGAAAAACAGAACGCCTGTCACAGGTAGCCATTCCGTCCTCTGAGCTCTGCTGGTAGTTCTAACTTGTACACACCTTGTCTGGGGATTTCAGACAAACAGGGATGGGGGAACGTTGACTTTCACTCTTTGGGAATGTGGTCTTGTTTACTGCTGCTGTGGCTTGAGGGTGCAATGTCCTCCCAGCCTCATGTGTTTGAACATCTGGTCCCCACATGGTGGCACTGTGGAGCCTCCCTGGAGGAAGTGGTGGGTCTTGGGTTGGCTAGTCTAGCCTCACTTCCTGTCTACTCTCAGCCTCCTGACTGCTCACACAGTGTGACCAGCTGCCTGGGCTGCCGCCATGTCGGGCTGTATCTCTTTGAACCGTTAGCCAAAGTAAACTGTCCATTCCTCCCTCAAGTTGCTCCTTGTTAGGTATTTGATCCTCACAATGATTAAAGTAACTAATTCAACTTCTAAGAGTTGAGAATTCGAAATACTTTAGCCTGTATGCTGTCAGTGTGGGTTGGGAATACACCAGAGACCTCATCTGCGCTCCATCTCTCAGGGTTTCATAATGCTGACCATATTGCAGGAGGCCGCCACAGCTTCACTGTAGGCAATTCCAGGATTCTGTTTTTCCTCTTCTTCCCATTTCCTCAGAGAGCAGCATCCGGCACCTATGCCACCACTCAGCCATTTTCCACATGCATTGTATTATGTTCAAAAAACTTAAAGTGATGAATGTTCGGATTTGGAAATCATCAGGTAGTAAGAAGTGTTTTGGAAGACATGCTCAGAGGCTGGGGCTAACCCCGTTCCTCGGCTGTGACGGCTGCAGCGCCTGAACGATGTTTGCCCTGGGCCACTTAGACATCACCAGGGTTCTCACCGAGAGGCCCGCCTGAGGTCCCATCCTCGAGGGTTACTTTAGACTTCTTGGTTACTTTTGTTTGCTCTCTACACACCCTTTTGTTGCCGGGTCAAATTCCTTCCTTAACCTTCCCCCAACCCTGCTTTGGTCTGTAGACACCACGGTTTTATATTGTGATGTTTTCTTGATTCCACTAATTACCATTTATAGAGACAGGGAGTCCCAAAAAGACATGATTTCTCCTCAAACCATTGACTTTAAAGCTAAGATTTAATTAGTGGAAACATATGCAGTATTCCTTCTTGCCTTTAACAGACACTATGTATGTATGTGTGTATGTATGTATGTATGCATGTATGTATGTATGTATGTATGTATTTTCTTTTACATCCGACCACAGTTTCCCCTCCTTCCCTCCTCTCTACCTCCCTCCTGTATCCACTCCTTCTCTGCTTCTGTTCAGAAAGGGGCAGGCCTCCCATGGGTATCAACAAAGCATGGCATGTCAAGTTGCTGTAAGGCACTTCCCCTTGTATTTAGGCTGGACAAGGCGAGCCAGTATGAGGTGGAGGGGAGCACTGAAAGAGATGACCAGAAGGGGGTGCTTTGGGGGGTCAGGTAGAGCCTGATGCCAGGGAAACTCCCACAAATCTACAAGATAACAGATAGCTCTTAATTGTGGAACTGACAATGTATAGTGGTTTCTTTCATAAGACTATGGGCTGACGAAGTGGTGTTCACAGTCATTCATCAGTGAGCCTAAATGCCTTACACACGTGTTAGAAACACTTCTTCACTGGAGACACTCTTGAACACCACACCAAATATTAGTCTTTGCTTTCAGGACCGTGAAATATGTGGTTGCATGAAATGTAACAACTTCATATGACTCTTCTAGAGTTTAACAGGCATACTGTCAACTTTCCGTTCATTGTTGTAATAAAAAGGCCCAAAAAAATAACTTTAATACAAGGAATGACTTATTTTGGCAGCTTTTGTTTTTAGTTAATGTCACTTCGCCCCATCCCCTTAGGCCTATGGCAAGACAGAACATGGGCATTGAGCAAAGATTCTCACCCTGAAGTGGCTTTGAGGCAGAGAGCCAGAGAGGAGGGTCCCCAATGCCTCTTCAGTGGTGCACCCCAGTGACCCCACACTAGACCCCGCCTCCCAAAAGATCAGCCAGCTCCCTGAGCTGGTGCCCATACCCTCAGTCTACGGCCCTTGAGGGACACTGAAGATGCAAACCAATCCAGCAGGTTTCATGTGTGTGAAGGAAAGGCTTTATGTAAATTCTCAGGACTCCACTCTTTCCAAACTCCTTAGGAACCGTCCATCTTTAGCACTCAGCAAGCCTCGACTTTTAATTACTTGCTAGGTTAGAGGCCTGGCCACAGTTTGTACAGGAGAGAAAACATGTGAAACAGAAGCATTACAACTTCCAAAACAAATATATACAGTAGTTACTGGTTTTTTTAAATTTGGTGGTAAATATTTTATGTTGTTTGAAGAGGAAGTTGGTAAAAAATACAACATAGGAAACACTAAAGCTAAAATGTCAAGCTCTGTCTTTATTTTGAAAGTGTGTATGCACATTAGTATAGAAACAAGTGCAAAAAACAAAAACAAAAAACAAAACAAACCCCAACCTTTTGCAAATACTATGAACGTGCAGCACATGGGGGCAGCGAACAGACTTTAAACTCCTGGTTCTCGGTGGGTTGAAAGTTTTTGTTTCATAGCTTAAGGTCCTAGAAAAAGCATCTTTGCTTCCATCCTTTGAATTTCATTTCTAACACCATGTTGCAGCATCTGCCTTAAGTCTGCTTTCTGTTGCCATAACAGATTACTAGAGGCATGGTGGTTTATAAAGAATAGAGGTTCATTTAGTCCATGGTTCCTGAGTCTCGGGGAATGTGCTTGGCATCTGAAGAGGCTGTTCTGTGACAGATACCAACATAGGGTACCTCACCATGAGGAGAGGCAAACCAGGCTTTATCATGAACCCCCTGTAGAGATAAAGCAGTAATCCATGAGTGCATTAACCCAACTGTGAGGGGAGAGACGCCATGCCTGATCACCTCTCAACACTTCACAGCCAGGCTTCAATTTCAGGATGCGCTTTGGTGGAAGTATCTAGCCTGCACCACGATCTCAGTTGGCACATGGCATCTTCATTCTTTGTGTTTTGAGCACTGTCACTCATGAAGTCGACCATGGGTGAAATTACTGAGGCTAACACACTCAGGTAGTGATGACATTTGGGTTGCAGAAGAATGCAGGTATAAAGTGATCAGAAACCCCACAGATGGGGACAAGTGGAACGGTGGGAAGTGAGAGCTCAGGGGCCTGTCCTCATAGTGCGGGGAGAGCACAGGAAGACAGCGCCCTGCAGGTGTCATTGGAGCTTTAGGAGGATGCGGATTTCACCCCTGGGCCTGAGATCTGCTGCTTAGTGGGAAGAAGCGGTCACTCCAGCATGGCCAGAGCAGGGTCATGGCGAAGCACAAGAAAGGGACGTTCTCCTGACAGGCAGGCACAGTGTCCTCAGACCCGCCCTATCCTCATTCTCACCCACCCAGAGTAGAGGAGAAGTCGCCCTCGTGGCTTCATAACCTAAGGTCTCCCTCTGGCCCTTCCAGCCTCAGCTCTGGTTCTCTCCGAGGATCTGCACCATCTGTTGGGTGCTTGGTGGAAAGTGCTGGCCTAGAGGCTTGCGAGGCTGGGCCTGCCGTGTCCTTTGCTCTCCTGTGACACTGTAAATCGCACTTGGTGCCCCCTGGGCTCCGTGCTCCGTGTCACGTTCATCACCCCTGTGACTCCACTCGTGAGTCCTTCTCCAAGTAGCTATTTCCTTTCCCTTCTGGAACTCGAGCTCCCTCCTCTGCTGCGTGGCTTTGTGTTAACCTCTGCTTTACGAGTCTGTCGGCTCCACATCCCATTCGTTCTCCAAAGCCTTGGATTCTGAGCGTTGGAGCCTAGTGTGACAGGTCAAGTCCTTCCTCAGGGACGGTCAGCGGGGCTCACTCAGAGCTCCACCTCTGTCCCTCTCTGACCACTGACTTGCACTCCTGGTCCACATCAATGCTGACAGTAACAGTGACACTCCTTCCCAGTGCTGTCACAGCACCCTTGGGGACACCGGTGCCTGCCCAGCCCACCCACTCTTCACATCTCCTTCCGATACCAGCTCCTGTTTGTAGCGTCTACTTCTTTTGGTCCTCTCAGCTTATGAATCCAACTTTCAAGTTTAACTTTGTTTCGTGCAAATAGAAAGGTCATTATCTCTGTACCATGTGGGTCAGCGAAGCCAGTGGAAAGCCAGCAGAAAGAGGGGTTCCTGGGGACTCAGGAAGAAAACAGAGAAAAAAGAGTCTTCTATCCTTGGGCTGGTTGAAGCCTTTCTTCCCTGGGGTCCATACTTCATGGTGTGAACTGCCCACCCGAGGTCCTTACCTCAGCCACAGGGACTGGTGACTTGAGCCTGCCGGGGGCTCACTGGGCTGGGAGGAAGCAGTCCTGGCAGCCCAGGCCTGCCGGGGGCTCACTGGGCTGGGAGGAAGCAGTCTTGGCAGCCCAGGTCAGAACCTTGAATGCACCTGTCCATAGAAATATTAGTATTCATGGTGATTTAGGTCAACAATGTTATTAATACTTTATCACAGCCACTAAAAGAAGGAAATTATATGAATGGAGCTTTTTGCACATTGGCGATAAATCTACTCTCTATTTATAAAATTGCTTTAACAGACAAAACTGCTCAGAGCTCCAGGCTAACTCAGCAGGAGGCTTTAGGAATGCAGCTCAGGTGAAGCACAGACGTCTTTAAACTCTGTGGTTGTGTCCATATGTCGTGTGTGTTATGCCTCTCTACAGTCTCTGCTCTCTGTCTTCCCAGGTGATCACGGGGCTCCCACCATGACCTTACCTTCCATGATGGGAACCTGCCAGAAGGAAAACTGCTCCACCACGATCCCATCTGTGAACACAGGTATGTACTGACAACTCAGGTCTGTACTAGTCCCTCTAACATGTAATTAGATATTTTATGATGTCCATGAGAGTTGATCTTAGAATTTCATAATGTATTGAAATAGAAGAACAGAGGGTAAAGGACCAAAATAATCCAAGCTAGAGAAAGGATTCTGCATTTGTTATACTGAGCTACCTTGCTCCCCACAGTGTTTCTGTCTACCCAAACCTGGCAGACTCATTGTTCGGAATCTTACAGTCTTATTAATAAAATCAAACCTGAGGCCAGGTATTGGGATGAACGCTGGAAGATCAGAGAGACAGAACAAGCCACAGCTAACCTCACCTGGCCAACTTCTCAGCTGATCCTGTTTCCTCAGACTGGATGCCTCTGAGTCCTCATCCAGAATGAATCTCAGCTGAACTGTGCTGCTCAAAACCTAAAAGCTTAACCAGCCAAATGCTTAACAAGGCCAAATGTTTCTAGTTCCTGGTCTTCACGCCTTATATACCTTTCTGCTATCTGCTATCACACTTAAAGGCACGCTTTCTGGGATTAAAGGCGTGTGTCACCATGCTTGGCTGTATCCTTGAACAGATGGATTTCTGCCTAGCTCTGCCTCCCAAGTGCTGGGATTAAAGGCGTGTGCTACCACTGCCTATCCTCTATGTTTAATATTGTGGCTGTTCTGTCTCTGACCCCAGATAAGTTTATTAGGGTGTACAATATTTCAGGGAACACAATACCACCACATTCCGGAATGTGCTACTCCCGAACAGCAGCCCACACTAAGGGGTCCCCTTCTGACTACTTGGCTACCAGCAAGAGATGTGGGAAAGCATGGATTCTACTCTACAATCCTGGCTGTAACCCTGGGCTTGTCACTTTTCTGGCTTATGGTGTGCAGGCTTTCAGAACTATGTTTGGATAGCTCATAAGGACAGAAAAATGAATGAAAAAATCCCTCTCCCTCTGCAAGAGCAAACAGATGTGTAAAAATAACTTTAGTTCTAAGCCATTCTCTTAAGACGTAGCAGGAGTCTGGAAACATAGCATAGATGGTGTTTTCTAAATTATAGAAAAAATAGCGATGTATTTCTGTAAACAGGAGATACAGCTGATGGGGGGTGTGTATTTGGAGGTGAGTTCAGGGCCACATTCATATTAGGCGAGGGCTCTACCTATGAGCTATACCCAGCTCTTGTTGGTAGTAGATCTTTATGTAACTCAAGAGTAGTCACAGCTAAAGAAGTGCAGAGTCAGTCAAATGGTGAGATAAATACAGGGCAGTTGAGGGAAGTGTTGTGAAAGGCAGTGGAAGGATGGAGCATTGAGTTACGTTTTTCTTGAGATGTTGGACTGTTGGTGGGCAGGGGGTGAATGGTCCCTTCCACTGACTAAATCTCATACTTTCTAACCTAGAGAGAGAATTCAACGCTGTATTCATTCCAGGTAGTATCATTCCAGGTACAGGCACTTGAGATGTTTCCAGCAAGGTTTGCCTGACCCCCAGTCAAAAGTCACCTGAGGACCAGCTCTTGTTGGCTTGCTGAGCATCCTCTCTCTACAGTCATGTTGTGTGTGCCCCTCCAATTCCTCCAGCTTCCCCCACAGGTCACAGCAGAGGTTCTTGACGTCATACTCCTGGGCAAGCTGCTGAACACTGAGTGTTGGGACCCCTCTTGAGTCACCTCATACACTCTCTTTTTAAGATTTACTTTTATTTTCTATTTAAGTATATGGCACTTGTGTGTAAGCACCTAGAGGCCAGAAGAGAGTGTGACATCCATCCCCTTGACCTGGAGTTACAGGCAGCTGTGAACTGCCTGCTGAGTATGGTAGGAAGTGACCCAGGTCCTCTGCAGCAGCAGTGTGTGCCTTAACCACTGAGCCATCTCAAGCCCATCTCACATTATTGACCTGCATTTGGCCCTCCCTTGGCGAAAGTACCATTCTTTGATGGTTTAGCCGTTATCCCATAAATACCTACCCTGGGCTCATGTAATTGGGAGTTTAGGAGCTCACAAATGAAGCTGTACATTTGTTCCTGTGTGTTTATGCCAACCCAAAATGTTAGGATGTGAATATGTTGGGACCCGTGGTTTCCAGGTTTCCATGTCCTTCTGTTCCCTAATTCTGTTCTTCCTGGTCATGTCATCCTTGGCTGTGACAAGCCCTTGGTCAGAGCTTAGAGATCTGATTCACCACTTGTCTTTGCATGGCTCTTGACCTAAGGATGGTTATGCCATTTCTAACGTTTTGAAGGAAGATATATAATAGGAAGTGGGTGTGGCCCAAAGGCCCTGAGAAGTTTCATCTGGATCCTCACAGATTAAAAAAGAATCCAACTTCTGCTCTAGATATTTCCACAAGAGATCTGGGAATATTGCAGAGGGAGGACAGCAACAGGAATTTCAGGGCCTGCAAACACTCTCAGATGCACATGGTCATTGTAAAATTCTTCAGCTTCCTAGAAATATGTCACAAATGGGACAGGCTGGTGGCTCAGTCTGTAAAGTGCTTGCTGTACAAGCGTGAGGTCATGAGTTCAATTCCCAGGGGACACACACACACACACACACACACACACACACACACACAGCTGGACACTGCAGTATACATGTGCACCCCCAAAACTGGGGAGGAGGGGACAAGAGGATCCCCAGGGCTCAGTGGCCAGCCATTCTAGGTAAGAATAATTGAGAAAGGCAACCAAGGTCGACCTCTGGCTTCCATACTCATGTGCATGTACATTCATTCCTCCTCCCTCCTCTCTCTCTCTCTTCACACACACACACACACACACACACACAGAGAGAGAGAGAGAGAGAGAGAGAGAGAGAGAGAGAGAGAGAGAGAAATAGGGCACAAATAAACTATCAATCTATGTACTCTCTACATTTTTTTAAAATTAGAAAATTCTTTGTGAAAGCCACCTCACTGGTTTGGGGGCACAGTGCCTGCTCACCCCCAGTCCCAGGTCAGTCTGTACTGCCATCCCACCTCCTCCCCACAACATCCTCTCAAGGACCCACCTGAGCACCTTCTGTTAACATGAAGTCATTCATCAGCAGTTTTCAGATTCTGTCTCCACCTCAAGTCCCTGACTACAGATGTTTCTCTCTTTTCTAAGGACATAGGGATAATTCTTCACCCCAGGTACACTGCCCCCTCCCCCAAAGTCGCTGTCATTTGGGGTACAATGGTAGCAGTGTGTGAAAATCTTGTAGAGAAGCTGCCAGGGGTGTTGGAAACCATCCTGGAGCTGGAGGTGGGGGGACAGCTTAAACAGTGGAGGTTCCCCCAGCCAGAGCTGAAGACACCGAGAAGCCACAGCAGAGCCAGCCTTTAGCACTTGGCATTCAAGTGTTAAAATTGATTTGATTAGAATTTGGGAAGTCTTTGAATTCGACTTCTGTGTTTGTAATTTAAGGTCTAATTTTTTAAAGTAGGGTATCATTATTTAGCCCTGGATGTACTGAAACTCAATATGTAGATCAGACTGGACTTGAACTCACCAAAATCTACCTGCTTCTGCCTCCTGAGTGCTGGGATTAAAGGTGTAAGCCACCAACACCCCCAGTGGATTTGACCTTCTGAGCCTTACTTCCTATCAATTTTGCCAATATGAATAATTATAGTAATTTGATTAAAAGTGTGTGGATTTTGTCTCTGGGGGCTTATTTCCTCTAAATTTTGGCAGAATGTAGTTAGCTGCAGTTATTTGATTGAAAAGCCCATGAGTTTGATCTTCTCGGCTTCTTAAAATGTTGGCCATGTGCATTTAGTCATGTTAGTGGAGAGAAAGCTGAAGTCTGGTGTCCATTGTGCAACACATGTCGCTTGGACTTAAAAATAGCTTTCCTGTCCAGGGCCGGAATGCAGTTCTAATTCGTGAGCTGTGGTGTGCATTTGTGGGACCTTGGTTTGCTGTCTTGTGCACATCACAAAAGGCCCAGGCACACAGCCTGTGTAGGAGGCGGGGCATGGCTGGAAGACACAGTGTTGGCCCTGGGAAGGCTCCTGCAGGTGCAGGTTAGGGCATTTTCCCAGCAACGGGATTCATGTGACAACTGGCAACTAATTCAACTTGAAAAACACTCCAAAAACTTTATATTTCACTTGCCTCAAGCCTGCCAGAATCTCAAATGAAAATACCTACCTAAATCCACCCCCCACTCCCAAAAAACTGACTTTTCCAGAAAAGCCAAGTCTTGTTAAGACAATACAAAAAGTATAATCACGGGTACTCTGTGAGTCAGTGCCATTTGCACATTCAGGAGAATCAATTTCACGTGTGTTTAGCATTTATGAGACCGATTTTAATCTCCTGTCATCCTGCTTTAATAGAGGTTGGTGGGTAGCAGAACTTGTTAAGCTAACACATGCTACATTTTGGATTCCCATTGACTACCCATGTTTTAAAATATTTTCTTAGTTACAAAAAAGCTTAGGATCATCATTTCTATAATGGGTGGATTGTAGTTAAAGTTTAAGACAAGAGGCTTTGAATTGCTCTCAGACTTTCAAATGAGTCTCAGCTCCAGGCTGCTGTGTTCATAGGAGCCACGAACAAAAAATAATTTAATTATTAAAGCATAAAAAGGGGATATTAATAAATACTTATGTTCAAGCATGTCCAGTATTTTTAAGATGTATTTTTATTTATGTGTTTGTGTGTTGGTGTCAGTGTATGCCAAGTCAGAAGAGAGCATTGGATCCCCCGGGGCTAGAGTTAAGGCATTGTGAGCCATCCTACCACATGGGTGCTAGGAGCTGAACTCTGGTCCTCTGGAAGACCAGCAAGTTATCTTAATCACTGACCATCTCCAGCTAGTGTCCAGTATTTTTTTTTTAATGTATAGACTAGCATTCTGGGTGAGAGAATAGCTTCCGATCCAGTAGGATATGTTTATTCCTTTCCTCAAATAAAAATTTTTCTTACCATTAATTAAGAAAAAAAAAAATGTGTTTTCTGGTGGTCAACTAAAAATGGATAACCTCACATCACTCAAGTGTCAGACTTGTTATTGTGTTAAAACAATGACTTTTCATAAGATTTAACAGCTACTGTATGTGGGTAATTGATAACTTGTATTCGTATTCATTGGGCCCTAACGATGTACCAAGCGCTGTGTGTGTGTGTGTGTGTGTGTGTGTGTGTGTGTGTGTGTCCCCGTCCCGTTGGATCTGAGGGACTGTCTTAGGCCTGACTGTGCTGGCCAGGCACTTCTTCAGATGCTCAGTGCCCAGGCCACTGCCACCCAGGATGCTATATGTTTTCTCATCTGCTGACCTGCCCTTCTTGGGGACCGAAAGGTTCCTGTAGCCTGAGATACTTACACCTATATCTCCTTTTCCTCACACAAAGCTCCTGTGAGAAGGATCAGCTTGTCACACAAGTGACCACCAGGGGGCACTTACCTATGGGATCTCTGAATGACTTACTGAGAGTGGAAAGTGGACTCATGGCAAACAGTTGAACCTTTTAATAAAGCTCGTAGAGGCTGCTGTATGACCCCAGCATGCCTGTGTGGCTACCATTGAGCAAGATGACTAGGCCAATGCTGGCACTGACCTGACTTGGGGATCCCCCTACCCCCACCCCCACCCCCACGGTGTGCATGCCCCATGGAAAGCCAAACCTCTTGGTGTGTATTTGTAGCCAACTCATTATATAAAATTTTACCCATCCAATTTTTATATTTCAAAAACTTAAGTAACTCTGCCATGTCTTTCCTGTATGCTTAGTTCTTGTCAATTGCACGGTTGTGAGCTTCGTTATGACATTTCCATATTGGCATTTAATGAACTTGGAGCATATTCGATCCCTGCTACCCTTTCTTGGTTCCCCTCCCCCCTCCACAGCCTGAATAGTCCCCTACCCCTTTGTAATTTCATGTCTTCTAAGTTATACATGTGAGAGAAAACACACAATTCTTGTCTTTGTGAGTCCTGTTCCATCCGTTTCCCTACAAATAATAGAATTTCTTTCTTGTTTATGAATGAAGGAAACCGTTGTATATACAAACCACAGTTTCTTTCTCTGTTGGGCCCTTCATCTGTGATGTATGCCCAGGACGCTTCTGTCTGCTGGCTACGGTAGCAGCAAGGCCTTGGTAAACATGAGCATACAGGTCTCTCTGTAGTGAGCTGCTTTGATTCTTTGGAATCTGAACCAGATCATGTCTTGGCCCAAGTTTTAATTTTTGAGGAACTTCCATGCTTATTTCCATAGTGGCTGTATTAGCTTACCCTACCAGCTGTGTATAAGGGTCACACACATACACACACCCTCACTAACAGTTGTTGGGGTTTTTTGTTGTTGTTGTTGTTGTTTTGTTTTTTTTAATCTTGATGGTTGCTGGCTGGAATAGGGTGAGATGGGATATCAGTGTAATTGTGATTTGTATTTTTCTCGTGCCTGGTAATGGTGGTGGCATCTTGTATGGCAGCCAGTCCATTTTATTTCACCATGGCTAATCACATGTGATGTATGGATTTCCCTGGCTCCCAGACAACTTCATTTCCCGTCACTTCCATGTGCCCACCAAACTGGCACATAGTGGTCTTCAGTTGGCATTTGCTGTGCTACAACCAGGCAGTTCCAATTAGTAAAATGTATCTAGCATCCCACGACACTCGTTATTCATTTGCTTTGATTGAAAGTCTGACTTAGCTGGGCGGTGGTGGCACACACCTTTAATCCCAGCACTCAGGAAGCAGAGGCAGATGGATCTCTGTGAGTTCCAGGCCAGCCTGGGCTACAGAGTTCCAGGAAAGGCACAAAGCACAGAGAGAATTCTACACAGAGAATCTCTGTCTCAAAAAACCAAAAAAAGAAAAAAAAGTCTGACTTTTGCGAAGCAGCCGTAGGTATACTCCATATGACCTCCTTTCTGGAACTCAGAAATTCTCTGTAACATTCTCTTTCCCTCTCACTTCCTTCCTCTTTCTGTCCTGTTGATCTGTCACCCCCTCAAACTGCCCAGTCCCCATTGCTCGTTCCTCCCCAAATTCCTTCAGATTTCCAAACCAGAAATCTTAGTCTGCCCGTGTCTGCATGCAGCCCTCCTGCCAGGGGTATTCCAGCTTTAGAAGGAGCAACTTGGACTCATGTAAAAACATCAGGGTCCCTCTTCATAGGATATAAAATAAAATCTGTTCAGAAGCGAGAACTCAGCCTTCTCCTAAGGATGCCTACACAGGCATTGGCCATGGACCACTCGGTGAGATGGCTTTCCTTGCCCATGGCCAGTGGTTGCTTTTGCATTCTTGCCTTGACATGCAGACTGTCTGTATGAATGTACCCCAAGTCCTCCAGTCCCCTGAGGTGCGGTCCTTTAACTCTGTAACAAAAGGAGCCTTTGCCTTTCTGCTCACTTACTACGGGACAGAATCCTCTTTCTTGTGCCCAGCTGAGCTGACAGCCCTAGCTTTAAAAGGCTTTCTGTTTTCTGTCTGGATCTTTCAGCATGGGGTCAACCTCAGGACTTTTCTGACACATTGTACCTTTTCCTTTTTTCTCATTCCTAAGCAGAGTTTCATCTCTAGTCCCAAGTGGTCCCTCGAAAAACTCTGAAACTTACTCCAAATAATAGGATTGTGGCTGCCCCAGTAGTAAGCTCCTACTGTGTGCAGTTCTAACATGCCTGCCATGGTCCTTGGCCAACCCTCATTCTATATGAAGCTGCGGAGGTGGGTACCTGCCCCAGTCCGGATCACTTCCTTGGCCTGGTCATTCATCTGAACCTCTTGGCACACTGGGTAGAGAGCTGCATTGACCGCAGTCTCCACTACGGTCAGGCACATGAGTCTTAACCTTGTCACAGTTTACCTTTCTATCCTGTCATTTTCCACCAAGGCAAGAAAAGCAAAATCTCAAGGTATTATAAGTGTGGCTCTACATGTGCCAGTCATATGTGGTGGTCACATGTGGAGTAGATGTCATGTGACTTCAAAAAAATTGTGTTCAGCACAATAGAAGCAGATTCTTGGATATAGATAATAGTGTTTTCAAAACCTTTGTGTTTCTGCAGCTGATGAAGGGAGTGAGGATGGAATTGAGCGGACGTGTGACACCCTGCTCATGTGCATTGTCACGGTGCTGAACCAGGGCCTCCGGAATGGCGGTGGCGTGGGGGATGTCCTGAGACGACCATCAAAAGATGTGAGCAAGACAGGAAGGGCTTCTTTTAAGAAGCTCGCGATTATTTCCTTCCTTCCCTCTATCCCTCCTTCATGTCCTCCCCCATTACTTCCCTCTCTCCCTCAGCCCCTTCCGTTCCCTTTCTCCTTCCTTCCCTTCCCTCTGTCCACACCCCCTTCCCCTCCCTTCCCCTCCCACCTCCCACCTTCCACCTCCCTCTCTCCCTCCTTCCCTCCCTCCCTCCCTCCTTCCCTCCTTCCCTCTCTCCCTCCCTTCCTAAATTGGGAATTGAACTATCAACACAACATATCCCCCAGCCCTCTTTTTACTTTTTAAACTTTGAGATTAGGAGTTTCACTGCATTGCCCAGGTTGGACCTGAACTCACTCTGTAGCCCGGGCTGGCCTTGAAGTTGCTGTTCTTCTGCCTCAGCCTCCCTGAGGAGGCCTCCCTGTGACAGGCCTATAGCACACAGACCTTGCTTCTTTCTTGTTGCCTTCCTTACCAGTGTTTACATATGGTCTTGATTTTCAGGGCTACAGCATCATTTGCCTAAAGTATAGCGGTGGCTGTAGGACAGTTAATTGCACAGTGGAATCCTGGGGATCAGAGGTGAACTAAAAGCCTTTGGATGTCAGCTGGGCTCCAGTCTGAACCGCACATTATGTCACAGCAACAAAGTCACAGCCACAAACTCTACAGGAGCTGACTGTTAAATAGAGCGCAGGATCCCCAGGTGCAGGATTTACTCTGCTTCTGCATAGGAAGAACCAAGAACCGCCATCATTTACCAGGACGAATACAAAGTGTGGATGAGTTCTAATGGAATTTCATATATTAAAATGGCAAAGTGAGAACATTTCTCAGTAACTGTAAATGTTGAAGCACCAGACTGGAAGCAAACAGTTTTCTTCTGAAACTGGCCTGTTATATAATGTCCAGTCATCTTGCTATAAAGCTCAGCTCTCCTGTAAACAGCTGGATCCCGTGGTCTCTGATGTGTGTTTTAACATTGCAGACCAGATAGGACACACATACTTGGCCTTGTCAGAACAAGGGCAGAACTACTGCAGAAGCTGAGAAATCACCAGTTTTCCTCAGCTAGCCTTGGGCTTGTGCTTGACTCCCTTTTGCTTGGTGTCTGGGAGAAACCTGCACGATTGTGTTTCTCACTCATGTGACAAAATGCCCAACCAAAGCAAACTAAGGAAAGAAGGGCCATGTTGGGTCACAGTTCTATGTGATTATCCCATCATCCTGGGAAAGACACAGCTTCAGTTAGAGACGGAGTGGCGCAAGGCCGGGAAGCCAGCTGGCCACATTGCTTCCACCCTCAGGAAGCAGCAATGGAGCAGGGACAAGGCCCGCCCCCAGTGACTCACTTCCTCTGGGGAGGCTCCACCTCCTGAAGGTTCCACAGCCTCCCCTAACAGTGCCACCAGATGAGGACCAAGAGTCCAAACAACAACGTGAGCCTGTGCAGACATTTCACATCCATCACTAGTAAAAGCACATGAGAAAGTGTGTTTCTCTTGGGGGAGATGTATCAGCCCCAGAGGAATGGAAGAATTCTGAGAACAGGCTTCAGGCACTCCCTTAGCTGGAGGAAAAGAAGGATAGAGGGAGCTTTCCTTTTCCTAACGGGGCTACCGTGTGTGTTCACCCAGAGGATACCTGTTGAACATCGGGTTTGTGCTAGACAGTGTGCTAGCTCAACAGCCATGAAGTGTGTGTGTGTTACAGGTGTGTTTTACACTTCTGTTGCAGGAGCCCTTATTTGCTGCCCGGGTGGTTTATGACCTCCTCTTCTTCTTCATCGTCATTATTATCGTTCTGAACCTGATTTTTGGTGTGATCATTGACACCTTTGCTGACCTCAGAAGTGAGAAGCAGAAGAAAGAAGAAATTCTCAAGACAACCTGTTTCATCTGTGGTAGGTGCCCCCCACCGTGTTATGATGAAAGATGAATAAGTCTCCCCCCACCAGATGCTAAGGTAGCGGATGGGCAAACTGCTCAGCAGGAAGGAGGGACGAGAATGTTCCATTTTTTCATGCTTTAGGAAAAATTGCTTTACTGTAAAGGCTGGATAAAATTCAGGTTACATAATGTTGCATGAGACTGACATTCTCTGCTTCCATAAATAGATGCAAGAATCACCCCAAACTCTTCACCATTGTTTCTGCAATTTATACAGTCCTCTGCCTGTCGAGTGTACTGCCAGATGCCAGGAGGTTCCACACCTGGCAAATGGGCTTTTAATCACAATAGCATATTGAGTACATTACAGAGTGACTTTTATTTTGCTAGATTATGAATCCAAGATTCCACTCATTTAAAATCACTATTTTAGATTCAAAGCTAGTCATTATCCTAGCTAAACCACACACACATATGACATGCATATCACAGAACATAAAAATACTGTAGAACATGCCACACACATCTACATCGTGCACCTACCACACCCCGCACACCCACACTACATACAACATATTGCAGGCTGCACACACACCACATATACTGCACGTGTGCGCACACACCACATATCCTGCATGTGTGCGCACACACCACATATCCTGCATGTGTGCACACCACATATACTGCATGTGTGCACACACACCACATATACTGCACATGTGCACACACACACACCACATATACTGCACATGTGTGCGCGCAACACATATACTGCACATGTATACACACACACTACATATACTGCACATGTGTGCACACACCACATATACTGCACATGTGTGCACACACACCATATATACTGCACGTGCGCACACACCACATATCCTGCATGTGTGCACATACCACATATACTGCACATGTGTGCGCATACACCACATATACTGCACATGTGTGCGCATACACCACATATACTGCACATGTGTGCGCACACACCACATATACTGCACATATGTGCACGCACACCATATATAATGCACGTGTGCACACACACCTCATATACTGCACGTGTGCGCACACACCACATATACTGCACATGTGTGTACACACACCACATATACTGCACATGTGTGCACACACACCACATATCCTGCATGTGTGCACACACCCCCTTTCCTTCTGCCCCATCACCATCTCTCAGGCTGAACCAACCTTTTCTTCATTGTTATCTTCTCTCAAATCCTCCCTTCTCTCTCCATCAGTTCTCTCTGGCGTCACTGGCCTGTAGTCCCTTCTCACTCACCCCTCCTGCCTTCGGTCTTCACTGCAGTGTCATACCGTCCAGTTGGAGCTGGGCCTCAGTAGAGCCTGTTCTGCCTGCCATGCTTTCCTCACTTGTCCCTTCTCCTCTGTGGCTCTTCCAAACTGCTTCGTCATCCTCCAGCTGGAGATGTTCCTGGGAATAACGTGAAAGAATATTCATGATCTAGGGAAGAATGCATATTAGCCGTGACCTGTTTCAGCCTTTGTGGTCTGTGCTGAGACAGACAGACAGATGCACGCACGCACGCACGCACGCTCTGTGTATCAAGGGAAATGATAGCGAAGTCTCTGGGTTGCTGAAGGTAAGGAGAGGATGGGCACTCCTGCAGGTTGGGGTGAGGAGCAGTAACAGCCCACGTTTCTCAGGGCAGATGGCGCAGAGCTGATGGAGTTAGTCCGTTGCCGAAGTGGGTAGAAGCGGAATAGCCCGACCAGAGGCGGCATGGAAACAGTGTCCGCACAGCACGGGGCTTCACTTACTGTGAGTGTCACTGTGACCGAACACCAGCAGCTCAAGGGACGAAAGGTCTCTTCAGGTTCTGGTTTGAATCGGCCACCGTGGCAGGGCAGGGATGGCCGTGAGAGTGCCCCTCGGCTCTGGCGGCAGGAGCCCGAGGCTGCCTGTCCACATGCTGGCTGTCAGGGAGCAGAGACTGGAAGTGGAGTTGAGCCACACACCTTGGACCGTGGCACCAGTTGCTGATCTCCCGCAGCTAGGCCCTTCCCCAAGTTCTCCGAGCTTGAAAAGCACCACCAGCTGGGGGCCAAGCACTGAAGCATGTGCCTAGGGGGCTTTCCTATACAAACCATAGCAGAGGGTCACGGTGTTGCCGGTGTGGGCTTCGGAGCAAGGTGGCCACGGGGAGGGCGTTCAGCTGAGGCAGTGTAGATTTAGTCTTAGCATAGGTGGAAAGGCACTGGGTCTAGTTTTTGTTTCAGAGCCCTGCAGTAGCTCTGGGGACTCCTTCATCAGGGTTGTCCTGAAGGCAGAGTAACTGGTTGTTACTACAGCCCAGATGGTAAGTAAGGAAGACCAGTTTATGATAGCCCGTGGTACGGTGTTAGGGATAGAAGACAGAGTCAAGAAAGTCAGATGATAGAATCTTAAAATATTTTTTTAAATGTACTTATTTTTATTTATGTGTATGACTGTTTAGCTTGCATGTATGTATGTGCACCAAAGGTCAGAGTTGTGGACAGTTGTGAGCCACTATGGAGGTGCTGGGGACCAGGCCCTGTACCTCTACAAGAACAGCAAGTGCTCTTAACCACTGAGCCACCTCTCCAACTCCAGAACTTTGAAATCCTGATAGTTGGGAATGGATATGAAAGATAGCTGGATGCATGGGTGATACCAAGTGGCTGAGTATCACGGGGAAGTGAGGTATGAATACCCCAAATTTAACTTGGGGAGCTTTGGACTTGTGGTGCGCTTTGAACATCCAAGACGGGGTATACCCTAGCATGAGTCAGTGTGTCTTCTCTGCAGACAGTGACAGGCACCCCCAGCCTGCAGATTACAGTAAAATCTGGAGCATGAAGGAAGGCTGCCTGGTCAGATGTGGAACCAGTGGAGTGTGAGCAGTGGAGTGTGAGCAACAGAGTGTGAGCAGTGGAGTGTGAGCAGCGGAGTGTGAGCAGTGGAGTATGAGCAGTGGGGTGTGAGCAGTGGAATGTGAGCAGCGGGGTGTGAGCAGTGGGGTGTGAGCAGTGGAGTGTCAGCAGTAGAGTGTGAGCAGTGGGGTGTCAGCAGTGGAGTGTGAGCAGTGGGGTGTGAGCAGTGGAGTGTGAGCAGTGGAGTGTGAGCAGTGG